TTCAGAAGATGCACTGTGATGTGCTGTTGCAATACAGCAGTGTTTGCAAGGTGGAGGAAAGCACACACACACATAAAGAAATCTTAATAAACTCGAGTAGAAGTAGTACGGTTGGGAGGAAAATAAAGGTTTTTTAGTCCTTAAGACCATGTATCCTGTATTAGAGACAGAGCATTTTAAAAAGCATTCTAGCGGCACATACCTAAAAAGACTTAAGAACAGACTTTCTCAACAACTCCCAGTTACTAAATCATGGAGACGAGGTCATCACTTTATGTTGTGTCACAAAACAAAAACACAGCTAACTCCATGCACAATGCTGAAAGCTCTATCGCGCAGACACAGCCACATCAGAAATTCCACCCTTGCTGCATTTCCTTAATAGAGCTGTGCCTCCATTACGCGGGCTTCTTGATCAAAGAGAAAGCTTTTCTCCTGTATTTGTCTTCCGCAAAGGAAATGTAAAATCACTCCTACAGTGAACACATTCACGGGGAATGAGAGTTTCTTTCCTCAACCTTAGCAGCATAGTCCCAAAAACGAACAGGTGAAGCTTGCTCCGACTTCAAGACAGCATGAAATGCAGTTACATAGATAATTCAGCCTCTGCACATTAGCAAGCACACTGCTTGCAAAATATGAAAGGCTTTCTTCCCTGTCCCATTTTTAAATGACACCTGCAAATCACTAATCCAGTTGCCATTTATTTCCATATGTCAAATTACAATCTTAACTTCTACAAAGCAACATAATAGCAATGATTAAGCCAATTACATCACAACACAGCTTAAAATGACACACAATGGAAGGATTAAAGCTCACTACCAAATAAGAGAGTCCTGTTCTTGGTGGAGCTCCCCCACTGTGGGAACATAAGTGTCTCTTTTCCTGTTGCACAAAGTTGTGAGCCTTCTGACATGTAGCTGCTGGACTGCCATTAACAAACTTATTTATATTAATGCTGCACTAAGCTGGGATCACTGCACCTCAGCATTAACTGCGGTAGGCGGGCTCTGTGGCCGTCTCTGCAAACAGAGCTTATGGCATTTTACACGTCCACAGACACGTTGAGACACGTGGACGAGGTGATCTCACCTGCTTAACTGAATGAGCCTCCTCTACCCTACGCTATTTGGGTCAGGTAGATGCTGACAGTAATAGCCTTCGGGAAAGTGAGCGAAAGGACAGTAACCGAGCACAAATATTTAAGAAGTCAAGCACCTCATCCTCCAGATAGGGCCAGACACCATTTGTAGCCTGTCTGGAGTATGTGCTACCACATTGTACACCATAGTTCCAACTGATGCCACCATGAGGCTCCTACAACAATAAAATACGGGTTAAATCTTTATATAATAACCAATCTTTCAGACTAAGATTTTCAATTCTACCTCAGGGACTGAAACGTTCTAATGGAAATTGAGCACCTTAATCTCTTAGGAGGATTTAAAAAAATCACAACACTGTTATTGTTATTTCTTCATTGCCTTGGTGTTTAAACCAGCATCATTCAAAACAGTTAAACCTTTTACCTTTCATTTCTGCTCTGTGCATCTTATTCTTTCATTTTTTCTTTTTCACATCTTTGAATCCCTCCTAATTTTCTCTACCATCTGGGAACACTGGTCCCATCTGCTAAAATGTATCTTCCTATTCCAGCTAAAATAAACACAAAACAAATTGTTACTGCTAGCATTTTACGTGTCATCATTAGGCTTTAATAAGATTAACAGAACTGAAGGAGTTTCCAATTTTGAAATACATTCTTGTGTGTTGACTGCAGACTGGAGAAGATACCACTCCATCTATTCACCCTTACTCTACATTAGTTTCTTGACAACTACAGTCTTGAAGAAATTTATTATAAGTGTATATTTATACTCAGCAGAAGTGGAACAAACCAGGCATAACTTAAATCTGTCCCAGATCACCTATCAGCTGTCCCAGATCTACCAACTGTTTGTTAGGTGGTCATTTCACATCTCTCCATACACAACCATACATGTATCACAACCTTTCTAAATATTGAAACAGAAGAACCAGTCAAAAGTTGTATGTTTTGTTTTTTTCTTTTCCTTAAGAAGCAAACATGCATGCAAAACCACACAAAAATGCATGGGTAAATTAAACATCTTGAAGCACACTAACAGCTTCCTCCTTCTGTAGCATTAGATGTTAAAAAAGCTGAATGGTTTTGCTTCCTACTGTTCAATGAAAGGAAAGGTCTAGACAGCAATGCTGTCAAATCTTTGCATCTTCATACTTGTCAAATAACAACTGCCTTTAAACTGATTGAAAAAATGCTTACATTTTCATTGAAGAGTGCTAGTCTCATATGCACAATTTTTTTTAAAAAAAAGTTCCTATCAAAATGCCATTTTTACTCCAATAAATGCCTTATATTTTACCTTTGTTTTGGGAAGACTGTTTTCTTATTAATAAGGTGAGGTGGAGGGAACATTTTGAAGAACTATTGCTAATGGTCTGCAATTTGCACTGTTCTGTACTTACAGAACAGAGACAACATTTGGCGCTTTAAGGTGTCTCTTTCCCGGGAATTCTGTCAGTGCGAAACAATGGCTTCTGGTTTAATTTTATTTTCTAAAATAAGAATTATTTTGTCCAAATCAATATGCATATCTTGCATCAAAAGCATCCTGTAGCTGATCTCGACACGCCATTAAAGACTCAACTATTCAAGGGACAGACTGTATCAGCCAGATCTTCACTTCACCAATGATAACCGCAGTGAAGCTGAACAATATACTGCCATCTCGTTCTGAGCACTTCCCTGGACAACAGCCCCATTTGCTGCCAGTATGCATATATACCATAAGACTAAAATAATGGAGAATTTAAGACCAATAGATAACACTGTAAACTCTTTTAACAGTCTAGAAACACCCTTTTTTAAAAACAGTATTCTAGTATCTACAGGCAACATAGTCTGTCAACAAGCCTACAACTAAGTGGTGTCTAAGGATACATGGAATGGATATAGTCAAAAGAAGAGTCACCCACTGTAGCAAATTATGCTTCTGCTTAGGCATACAGAGGGGTCCTACAGTATTTCAAACTGAGACACGTGCTACACCCAAAACCATTGAAATAGCTCCCCCACCAGTCTCCAATACACCTGGAGGGAAATTCAGACTAAAAGCTGATATCAAGGAAAGCATGACACCATGCAAACTCTCAACCTTACATTCTTCTCAACGATGTTATCTGGTATTCGCCATACCAACTAATCTTATAATTTATAAGATTATTTTTCATTTGAATAATTGTACTTAAACAAACTCTTCATGGGCATATCAACTCATTTGTTAATGCAACACAGACACTAACATTTATTTGTCATTGAGACAGACAGTAAAGGAAGCACTTCTTAAGGGAGAGGAGGAAAGAAAGTGCTTTCACAGCATGCCTTAATAGACAGCTAAGATAAATTCTGGAATTAACAAATTTGGGATGACACATTTATTTATTTATTGATACAAAGTACACGACACTCCTAGAAATATAGAGTTCACTATAAAATGTAAAACTATTGTATTAAGAGAGCAAAAAGACCCTGTTCTGCAGCTCAATCTTACAGAAAAGTTGCTTGGGACTCCGTAGGGCAATGTTAAGATTTGGTGACGGTTCTGATTTTGGTTTATAAAACTTATGCTTAGTAACAGAAAATTCTTTAAACTTTTGGTAATAAAAAGGAGTTTCAAAAGATGGCCATCCAGTTGACTCCAAAACTGAAAAACACCTTGCAAGTCCAGCCAAAAACTAAGAAGCCTCTTCCGCAGTGAGAGTGAGTTGTGAGAGTGATGGCCTACAATAATCTTCAGTAATATTTCTGCTTACCCACCTACTCTGAAGGATTATGGAGATGAGTTCACAAGAGCTGACCCTCCAGGTTTATTAAATATTAAATGAATATTCTGTATGCATGCTGGGTATTAAATAAAAACGAGAAAATAGTGCAGAATACCATATGTTAAATACTTCAAATACTGGAATAGCTCTGTTTGTTTTTTAATAATTTATTTAAATCACTTTATCACATATCAACATAAAAAGCTACAATACGGACACAATGTAAATGCTGGCATAATGAATATTTTAGGTGCTTTTCAAGCTTTTAAAAAAATGTTGGTTAGCTTTGTTTATTACATTGTATATAAACCTGGAGAACTTATTTAATATTTTTGTTATTTCTTTTTTACCTTGATAGTAATAGCACTGCTATTTTCTCACCTGCAGTAGTATCACAGCATGTAGGCCTTCAGCAGCAGGAAACTCTCTTCATTGTCATGATTCAGCCTACTGTTTCTACAACTACCTTTTTCCCCTCCCCATCCACTGTCTTCCTAGCTAACTGGATATAGCCTACACACAATCTGCCCTGCTTAAAATCATCTGCTGTTAGCATTCAATTAAAACTGTGGTCACCATCATAATGCTCACTGGTCAAAGCAACTTGAGCAATAACTAGGTTACAGCCCATCCATTTAGCAGAGCAAGTCTAAAGTGGTCTCTCCAACACACATACTGTGTGCCATATATTGATCTACAATTGAACACAGGGTGATGCAGCTGTTCAACGGACTACTTTGCATTGTGAAAAAGGACCATGAACAAAGTAGCTTTACTCAGCAGACTGCAAAGCAGATAACAATTACAATTTTTGAGCTGCGACATCTATGGACCAAGAACAAATCCAGCATTTGGCCAAGTCCAATCTTAAGAGTTAATACAAAGCTGATGTTCCATATTTCCACATGGGCTTCTGCAAGTCAAATTTGCTCACAGGTTTTATACCGAATAACAGGATTAAGACAGTCTGTGTGTGTGTCATACCACACAGAAGGATAAGTTTCTGAATGGAGGGATGTAAGTCACAGGATCCTCAATTCTCAGGTTGAAAATTGTCATCTTCTGTGACATCACATCCAACAATTTAAATTGATGGGACCTATACAACAAAACTGCATCAAACTACACACCTTGTGTCCAAATGTAGCATCCTCGGAGGCCAAGACTTCAACCTGAAATTATAAGGAGAAAGACTATTTCAAATTTAGCCACCGTCAAGAAACGCTCTCCTGAGCAAGAGATGTCCAAACAAAGAGATCTGTAAATGAAGGTGTCATTCTGGGTCAACCCCAGGAAACCTACATAAGATAGGACATGTTGAACTAACATATGATGACAGAAATCCTCAAGAAAGGTAACTCAGAAAGCGTTCCGCATGACCCAAACAACTTTCCTCAACCTAAATGACATAAAGGGTATCTGTCAGCATCCCAAAATTTACTGTACTACATCTGGAACATTGTTCTGCATATGGAGTTTCAGCTACACCCAAAAGCTGCCTGGAAACAGCCAGAATCATCTGCCACAACTCTCTGTAAAAAAAAAGACTGGAAATGTCTGAGCTCTTCCCCTTCCCTTCTAACAAGCTGAGTACTCCTGCACCAGCACTAGACAGAACTGCACTAATGGGAAACTTTGCAGCAGAGGCCTTGCTTGTAGGCTCCTGTCCTACCTTGAGCACAGCAAATTATTTGAAAACCACAGAATTCAGGGAACACAAAATCCCCAGGCAAAGGCCTTGAGTAGCCAGCTGCAAGATACAATGAATGTTTGAAAGCTTGAGGAAAGCAAGCTGCTAGGTCATCTAGTGGTGCTCCAAACCAGACTCTTTGCTGGTTGCCACATATTGGACAGCTCTTAAGAGCTGATCCACACTGATCTGGGACAAGAGGCAACAGACACAGAAAAGCAGGCGTGCCGATTTTTCATTAGAATCCTTAAAAACACTTCACACATCAGCACCTTTCACCTGAGAATCTCAGTGCTTTTATGAATTCTAATTAATTAAGCTTCCCAATACACCAGTGAAGTAGGAAATGTCATCATCCCTATATACAGACAGAAGAGTGAGGCAGAAGGAGGCTAAATAATTTCTCAGTAGTCATGTGCCAAAAGAATCCCAGATTTCTACTTCCAGGCTCACAGTTCAACAACTAGGAAATTCTCTATTTCTGATTTACATACTTTTAAAAATACCTACTGCTGCATTATAATTTATACAACTAGTATAACTACAACTAATGTATCTAATCTCTAGTTTAACTTAAGAAAAGTGAAGGATTTAAAGCAAGACAAGAGGGAAAAAATGAATGTCAAGTTTCAGCCTGAAGCACATTATAATCCCAGGGTTATAAACCCCTGAACAAGAAGGTTTATAATGGAAAGGCTGATAAACTTAAAATGATGGCAGCACTTAAATATATTTATGTCATGATCTAGCAACATATGGTATCGCTTTATCTCTAAATTAAAAAAGGGAGGGGAAAAAAAAGGGCAAAGGAGATAAAGCATTTATAGGAACTAGAAATAAAGAAGAAAATGAACCCAAAGTTGCCCAGTTGTGACCTGTCCGGTTGATTAGGAATGGCAGTAAGAGGCTAAAAAATTGCATCTCGTTCAATAGAAGGTAAAAAAACCACACATACAAGTAAAAAAATCAATCTAAAATTATATGTATTAGCTACTTATATTAAGCTTCTAATCCTTTAGGCAGTTTATAAATATTAAACAATCAGTCCTGGTGAGACTGATAAATATCCATAATATATTTTGCAGATGAAGAAACAGACAGAGGGTTAAGTGACTTGCCCAGGGCCAAAAAGAGAATAATCAGCCACTGGTTTGGAAATAACGGTATGACTGCCTGTCTAAGTACCATCTCTACTCAGATGCTCAAGTGATTTCTGAAAAAAAAGTTATTCCAGTTGTAGAAGCAGTCTGGCTAGGGTTAATCAGGCACTCATCTAAACTGTCATGCTTATTTTCACTAGGCTTATTGTAACTAGACAGACTCCAAAACTTGTACAATCTTTTTCAAAACTCACTCAGTTTTCTCTATATAGTATTGTGCCAGGCCCATACATTAGATGCTACCAACTGACTCATTAATGTTTATTACTGCTTCGTTTCTCTTGTAGATTCATTAGGAAAACTGGAGTCTTCTCTGTGTTGCTGGGTCCCTCTCTTAACTTCCCCCTTCAATCCAGCAGGGCTGCTGACACCCTGCCAGCCCCAGCCCACCCTGCCTCTCTGAGGTCCCTTCCTCCTCCTTTCCTTCCCAAGAGGTTCCAGCTGGGCTAACACCCCGCTGAGCCTGCACAGCACTGCCTGCCTGTCCCTCAGTGCTCCCAGCTGCAGGAGCACAGGGGATGGCATCAAATCCTTGCACTGACCCAGCACAGATTGGGCAAAGCGTCCTTTGTTTGGGTTCTGCACCCCGCCTCATCTGCAGAGGCTGCCTCATCATGCGGGGACCTTAACTGTACAGTGGTACTGGCAATAAGTGGGTTGTGCTAATTAAGACCCACTTTGCTGAAGGTGAAGAGAATGCTCACCATTGCCATAGTTTTAAAACACATGACTTAACACAGCACAATGACCAGCACATTCACAAAACTCAATCCTCCTTTTCACCAAGAAACTGAGATGAGGAGCAAACTGAAACATTGAAAAGTGGAGTAAAAGTTTAAATTGATGTAACATACTTTTAGTCTCCTTTTCATATATTTTCTTTTATGCTTAAAAACATAATGCTTGCAGAGACAATAAAATGGTTCAGAGCACAGCTATTGGTTTAGATAGTAATTCTAATTATAAACTGTTATTGAACGTGTCTGATAATGCCACTTTTGTCTTTCCAAGAGTGATCACACAACTTCTGCGATAAATACTTGTCCTCACCTTGCAGAAGATGCAATGAAACATCCATTCTTTGTTACTACTGTGTTTAACAGTGTACTGCTGTTAGTCCATTCATTTTGGTTTTCACCTCTTCATATAAAAGGCAGTGAAGATCAGAAAGAGACAAGTAACTACTGACACCATAAGATACATAATATAAAGTACTGAAACAAGATGTGGGATAACATGAGGTTTTCCTCATGCTGAGTTTAAATTAAAAAAAAGCCAAAATGTACAACCTCGGCTGAGAGGACCCCCCTCTAGTGGGAATGAGAGTGTACTTCAATCAGTACCCCCGTTACCCGAGGGGAAGAGAAAATTTCCTCAAGAATCAGGCAAGCACCATCTTTCTCATAATTATCTTTCAAATGTATCATATCGATTACAATAATAAAAAAAACCCAAGAGATTCATTATTGCTTCAAGATAATCAGACATTAATTAAGAACTTCTCATTATATACTTACTTGTGGAAGTTAAACATTTCCTTATTTTAGTTGTCTGTTCTGACTGTACATCTGTAAATATGTAAATCCTGGGCACAGGGGGTGTTTTTCTTCTGCAGTGAAAAATTCCCTGCATCATTAAAAAAAGCAGACTTGGTTCTTAAGCAAAGCACTGTTGATTTCATGTATATCTATCCATATCAGATTCTGTAACTTTCCCTGAGGCACTGCTCTGAATCCTTGCTTCCATCCACTTTTCACTCCTCACAGCACAGTGTTACAGTTGAATGAACCTGTTTGTCCTGAATGTTATTTCTACGTAAAAGCAACTTTTAATCACTGTTCATCAGTATTTCTTCCAGTTTATCTAAATAATCAAACAGCTTTTTTGATTCTAATAAACAAACCCACACTACAGTGTCCTGCAATCCTGGGCTGGAAGGCTGTTTTAAGTGCTAAGGGATAAATGATGGGGTGGTGCTCTAGAGAGTATGTCTATTAATCATACACTGCAGATCCAGTACATGAGATGCAGTTAGTGGTTTGAGCAGGAGTACCCCACAGCTGTAGTACACCTGTCCTGCCTGGGCAATTCCCCCCTGCAACAGCTGGCTCCCTGTAGTTGCTCCCAGTCGAGGTGATTCAGGAACCATGAGCTAGCAGGTCTGAATGGAACCCCCTGAGGCTGGCCGGGATGAAGTGAAGGAACTCTGCAGGTCTTCCCCAACACCTGACAAGGCAAACTTCCCACCCCTCTACACAACCTGCATGGTCTCTAAAATGGACAGTTGTGACCAAGAGATGAGCACTACTGCTTATGTAGTATTCTGTAATTTAATAGTAGAATAGATCAGTATTTAGTATTTTTTTTTATTTTATAAGATGAAAGAATTCATAAAAGTGGTCATGTCTACCTGGAGGATCCCTGATTAGAAACATGTGGAGTACCATGAAACAAGTTGGGAAGTTGCCCCAAGTCTCTTTTTGTCAAAAAGAGTAAGACTTTCTCAGTAATTCTGTTTTGCTTTTCAATAAAGGACTCATACAGCTCCAATTCAACAAACAATACTGCATCACAACCAACATACTTAGACTAAATCATGCACAGAGTCATTTCTGCCTTCCTGTCAAGGAGAAAAGGAGCTGAAATGTAAATCAAAACCTTAGCAATCCTAAACAATAACTTTTTGAAGCAGAGTTGTACAACCTAGTGATCAGATGACACAAGAAATTAATATAATTTGGCCTTCTCCAAAGCCATACTCAGCATTAACTCTGCCCTCAGCTCAGTCCAGCTCCTTCTTGTCTCATCAAGAATTTGTTTGAGATAGGATTAGCTGGAACTGAGCAAGAGCCATGGAAAGCAGAATACTGTTAACAGGAGAAATTACAGCTACACTTAATACCCAGCCTGTTATCCAAACAACAGAATGAGAAGTAGCAAGTACGCAAGGACAAAATAACTAACTCACAAAAGACACAGGTCACAGAACTCCTCTCCATCTTTTTTGGGGCAATCTGAATATAAGCACTAATAATCATTTATGATGCATACCAATTCCCATATAATATCCTGTTAACACTAGTGCTGAAAAGGATCATCGATCTACATTTAACTACCCAGGCACAAACTCCCAATACAACACATACTCACCACTGCTCTCAGACTTGGGTTGGAGCTCCTCGGAGCTCATCTAATGGAGCTGCTATTTGCGGCTGGCAGGTGAGGGGGTTACAGCTACTCTGGCAAGGAGCGTAGTGGACTGGAGCAGCTCTGATCAAGACAAAATATTCTGCACAGGCACTTACGGTTTCCGTGGGTCATA